CTAAAAGAAGCAGCAATAATGTATATGTTTTGGAATCCCTAAATTCGTTTAAAAACACTTGCTTTGAATGGAGGTATTCTAGTATTAACAGAACCTGTTTCTCAGTAGGTGCAAAATTCCCATTTTTAAAGTGATCCATAGCTGACACTGGTATAGTAGAAGGATTTTCATAGCATGACAGAGTTAGACAGCATACTTACACTTATTAGACTACCTTTATTTTTCTCCCCCCTCACAGTGAATTGTCATGGATTACTCTTGCTGCACTTTGGCCTGTGTTTGTAATTACCATGGCAAACTGGGAAAAAGTACAGTAAGTGACTTCTGAGATGAAGATTGGTCTTCCAGGGATGGGTAGTGCCACTGGTGGGTGCAGTTGTGAAATGTGGCAACCAAGTGGTAATTCACCTGTTGGGGTGATGTGTCCCCTGCACTTTATCTACATGGACTTTGGCCTTCCATGTCAGTAGAGGATGTTTAAAGAATGAATGTTTAAAAGGCAAATGAATCCCTTTGTGTTGTGCAGTCCTCAGCCTGCTAAAGGAGAAATAATCTAAATCCTGCAGCAGGGGGAGCTGAGCGCCTTGTCTTGAAAAGGCTTGCAGGGAAATACAGCTTCAGAAGAAGCCTAAGGCTTCTACTCATTTAAAGGCTTGCAGTGGTTTTGCTGTCTAAATACAGTTGCAGTGGTAACAATTATTGTGTTTAATTAAAAAAATGAAAATTGTAATTTTGGGGTGAAATCTGGTCCTGTTTAAGCCAATGTGAAGGTGAATAAGCAGCATTACTGCAGCTAGCATTCTGAAGCCTTCTTCTGTCAGCCTTGAGTTAGACTTCAAAGTTTATAAGCAGCAGAGGAAATTACTCATGGCAATGTTGGTATTTGCAGGAATAATAACTTTGTAAGGGGTAGCTGGATTTTGAAAAATGTCTTGGTTGGCCGAGAATATTTTCCTGTTAGTTATTTGGAAGTGTTCAAGGCCTGGCTGGATGAGGCTGTGAGCAACCTGATCCAGAGGGAGGTGTCCCTGCCTGTAGCAGGGGATTGGAATGAGGTGATCTTAAAGGGTCTTCAACACAAACCATCCTGTGATTCTATCTTCCTTTGCAGACAGTGAAATAACTGTAGGACCTCCTTCTCAAGCATGGCTCTGTATTTCACTTGAGTGTCCTAAATTCTAGTAAGTCTCCAACTTTTTTCTCTTATTCCTCTTCTCTCTTCAGTCTTTTCAGTGGAGTGAAATATGAATGTAGAAGGCTGGCTGCTTAATTACAGGATGAAGCACTCCGGTTAGTGCTATTTTGCAGAATATCCTTTTGGTAAATTTCTCTAAATCCTCCAGTTAATTTGCTGATGTATCCTTCCTGAATACATCAGCATCTTTGTCTAGTGAGAGGACAGGAGGACTTGCCAAATTCAAGTAGAAGGAGAAAGAGGTGCAGCTTAGAAATGTGTTTATCCTGCATAGATTTTTCACTCATTACTTTGGATTATTTCCTATTCAGTTGTAAGAACTGAATTTGCTACTTAGGAAGAAGTGCAGTGGGAATGTGCCATATAAGGAGGACTTTGGAGTTGTTATACTGATGAAAAATCTGGAGCCAAAGTAAAGGACAAAATGGTTCAGGCTTCAGATAATTTTCACTCCACTGACATTGATGTAATCATCCTCTGAATCAGAATTTGAGCATGTTTGTGAGCTAAGATGTTGTAAGGAAAAGAACTATGTGCACAGAAGTTGTCAGGCAGCCAAGTCCATCCTGGGCTTGTAATTATACTTTTTTTTTTTTTTTTTTTTTTTACAATTAAATTAATATTTTTTTTCAAATAAATATCGATTGTTTTATTAAGCTGCTCCTTTGTATACAAAAATATAGTTCCACAGTTATTGTTTGGTGCTGGTAGTGACTGAAGGTAGGGTAAACCAGGAAGAGTTCCTTTGAAGTGAATGTGGAATTGTCCTGATGTATGTAATGCTGTGTAGATAGAGGTTCCCAGATGATTAAATTACATTGTTTTGAAAAATTTAGAGCATCTCAGGAATTGTTGTATACAGGGAAAAAGAAAATTTCATCGATTCCTCAAGTATTTATTGTATTTCATTGTATTTTTATTGTATATTGTGTAATCTGAAGCATAATGGTGGCTTACTTCTCACTTTCTCTGTTAGCAAAACTTAATCCTGGTTCTAAAAGGATACTTCCTGGTGCCTGAGGCTTGAAGTTTGCCTTGTTTGGGTCCATAAGGATATGGCACTTCTGCTCTAATTTGCTCAGGAAGTAGAAACATTGTAGGTTATCTTACACAGCAGTTATGATTAATTTAGCATTTATTGTTCTATACATTATAGGTTATCATGTGTAGCTGACCAGAGAAAACTAGAAAATCTCTTGAAAATCCTGACTGTGGCAGGTGTTACCCTCTTAAGAGCAAAACTTTCTTGTAGCTCAGCTTTACCTTGGGACATGAAGAATTTATTAAACGTGAAGCCCTTCTTTCTAGTAGGCAGGGCAGTCATTGAAAAGGTCATCTTTTAAAACAGTTTGAAGTACGTTCTGCATTGCAGAAAGCATTTGACATTTCATTTTTGCCCTGCTTTTTCACGTGTAGCCATGCACATAGCACCTATGGTGCATTTGCTGCCGTAACTCAGTAGTCAGAGTACAAAATCACAACTTGCTAGAATTTGAAGGAAAGTAGTTTCTGCTTAATTTTGGATTACATGTCAAATCCTTTACATCTACATTTAAGTTTCAGTTAAAATGAAGAATATCACTGTAATTTTTAACATCTTTTTTAATAAATACCTTGAGGTAATTCTTAAAGGAATATATAGTCTGAAAAAATAAATATGCATTCAGGATTTTCAAGACAGAACTTACACGAGTGCTAAGTTGCAGCTTCCTATGCTTTGTGCCCATTAGCTTTGTCAAAATGTTTGTTACCAGTGTGTCACTAGGCTAATGTTCTGCTGGTGAAATGTGTTGGGTTGTTTTTTTTTGTGCATGGTTGTTGCTGGGGTGTGGAGGCGTGATATTTATGAACAAGTGTTCATGAAGTCAGTATATTCTCTGAGCTGTCTCGTGAAGAATCCTGCTAGCTGTTTACAGCTCTGGAGCAGACAGTGCTCTTTGTTGGCAGGTCAGTAGGTAGAGAAAGGAGATGTGTGATGGATGATTTCCATTTAATTTGAACAGAGCTTCTCTTTGAAGTGGCTAAAGAAGTTGTATAGCCTTGCTACCAGGCTGACCTCAGATTACCAGAGGACATTATTAAGAAGAGTATGTTACGTTGGAGTCTGCAACTTGAGTGCCTTAGCTGTGAGCCATGGACTCCCTGTGTTGTAGGTGGAACACAAAGCAGTATAGTTATCAATAAAGCCAAGTGTATGGGTGCACTTCTCCTTAAGGATGCACTATCTATCTTGTAGTTGTGGAATGAGGTGAGATTGTCCCCTTATAAGCATTAAAAATCCTTTCTTTATGGAGCCAAATGCATAGGGAGGTTTTTTTTATTATTATTATTATTATTATTTTTATTTTATTTTTTTGCTTTCCCAGCCAAAATATAGCCACTATGGCAAGTCCCTGTTACATCTTCCAGCAGGCTGGAGTGACTGAACTCTTGGCAGCCTCCTGCATCCCTACTTGAGCCTTCCTGTGCTCAAGAGATACCAGATGACACAGGCAAAAATGAAGACCTTCACTGTTTTATTGGGATGCTGAGACCAATGGTCCTTTTTATTGATATTAAGCTTTTCTTAGGACCTTGAAGTTGAGATTAAGGCTTAATGCCATCTTGCTTAAAAGCTAAGTTTGTAGTGTGCTACAATTTCCTCACTATTTAAAACAGCATCCCATCAGTCTGTAGTTTTGTTCACTTGTTTTTCTGATCACCTTGGAAAGGGAAGGTTTTTTGTTTTTTTTTCAACCTCCAATGCAAATCAAAATATGAAGACAAAAAAGATCAGCATGTGGTCTGCTGTAAATAGGTGTATCTTAAGTGTGAATATAGTACCTAGTTAGAATAGAACTACTTGCAGTGAAAGCTTGGTAAGTGATGAGCTGCAGACCCCTTTGGCTTGTCTGGTTAGCCTTCCTTAAATTCATTAAAAAACACTCTAGTGGATTTTAGTCTATGAACGCTTCGTTCTTAATAATCTTGCAGTTGCTGAATTACAACCTTTGGAGAATAGAAAGAGAAGCTAACAAGATGACAGAATCTAAAAATATCTCCTTACTTTCTGTGTGAAGTATCTTTATAAATGCAGTTGGTTCACTGAAACATTGAACTCCGGGTTTTTGACGTAGTTTTCAGTAACTGTGTGGAAGAAATACGGAGTGGTTTTAGTGCAAGCTTAGTTTGCATTCAATGATTCAATAATCTGGTGATTATTCCTGGTGAATCTGGTAAGATAGAAATTTTGACTTCTCAACTTAGTTGTTGTCAGATCAATTTGATTCTTGTAACCATTCAACCAACAAGGATGAAAATGTAGTAAGAGCAGTTGTATCACTAATAAAACACGGTACTAAGTTGACTGTTCAGCAGACAGGATGTAGAAGGATAGAAAGCATAATAATAACTTCATTATGTTAAGAATTAATTTTTAGGAGAAAATAACATTATTTTTTTTTATGGAGGATCATTTGAGTAGGACAGAGTAGGGACTGTGTTTTAAAAAAAAAAAAAAATTGACTCTATAAAGGACTTTGGACTCAGTATCCAAGAAGAACAGTAAATAGAAGGTATTCAGGTAGAATAGTAAGTAGAAGGTATTTGATTGAATCAAATGCACAAGAGTGGAGTGTTTCTCCTTAGAATTCCAAGATTTGATCTAATAGTTGATTTATATACTGTATTATCTCTTTAAACTCTGTTTATGGGCTGCCTTGGCCCAGTTCTGTGACTAGTGGGGTGGAGGCACTCACAGATCCATGCCACCGAAAAGAGGAAATGGGGGAAAAGGGTGGGAAGATGCGCCCCGAAACAAAACAGCAGCAACAATGTGAGGAGAAACAAACTAATTTACTGAATATCAGAATGCAACACACTGTAATACGGTATAATGGAGTATAATTATAATAGCAGCTAATAAATCAAATATAATGAGTGTCTGAAAGCCAAAGCCTTACTGTAATGCTGAGGCGAGACGTGTGGTTGGAACAAGATGAGCCAGACAATCAAAAAGGAATTTCAGGTGACCTACCAAAGCCTTTATTTGTTTCCCTTGAGTAGAAATGACAGCAGAACAGCAAACAGTCCTCTGGGGAGTGCAGTAGTTCTTCTCTTCTGGGACATGTACCTGGACCTGGAGTGTTAACTCTTTAACTCCTAGTGCACTACATGATAGAATACCAGTAATCAATCATAAAACCATGACAGTATGATGCATGTCCTACTCTTGTAGCAGCAGGGATGAAAATGGTATTTTGCTCTTGCAGAGTACTGTACGTATTATGGAGGCACTCATTAAGTGTATTTGTGTAACTATTCTGCAATGAATGGCTTTTGTTCAAACGTAATGTGCTATCAAGAAAAAATTGTGTATGTTATTTTCCAGTTCTTTTTCTTCACTTATAATCTACTGTACCATGTAAGCACTGTAGTTTTAAGGGAGGTTCAGATGGACAGCTGTGGAGATTTCCACAGGAAAGGTTATACTGTTCTTGTGCCATTACATGTTAGCTTTCCTAAAATCAGTATATAACTGGAGAGCTAAAGCAGGCAGGATCCTCATGTGTTTTGTAATACCTTTCACGTTTGACTTGGTGTTTATGTGCCAAATAGAACGCATCTTAAAGTCAGGAGTAAGTAAATGATGGAAGCACCTACTTTTTGAAGGATTTGTTATAGTCCAGCTGTTTAAGCAAGACTGATAATCAAATTGTTAACTCTTCCTGGCTGATGTGACTTATACCTTGATTATAGGAGTTCTACAGTAAAGAATAAATAATGATTGCACAAAAAATCAGCAGCTGTGAAGCTCTGGTTTGATCACTTTTAAGTTCGCTACCTCCATGAAGCAAGTATTTATTTTTTCAGAAATGTCTGTTTTCTTGGTTCACCAAGGAATGTTTTTCAAAAAAGCCAGCAAAGCCAAATCAAACTCTCCATTTTTTCATTTCTGTGATCAGCAAGTGAGCTATGTGGTAGGGTTTCTAAAACTGTATGAAGCTTAATATATCCGAATGCCTAAAATTGCCTTGTTTTTTCATATCCTAGGTCTGTGTTGTATCTATTTCCAGGAGAAAATAAGACGTTCAGAGCAGCAAGTCAGAGAAGAATTCAGCTTTTTCAAAGGCTTCCCTTTCAGAAGTAGGACTAAGTCTGAAAGAGCCTGATGTACCTACAAGTGTGTGCAGACTAAGAACTGACAGAAGTTGCTGGATCCAGTTGCATTTCCTTGGTCTTACAAGTAAGTATGCTAAGATTCATCTTAATTGTAGCTTCTTAACCAGTCGTGTTCAAAGTGCTACGAATTGTGACTTCTTTCTGCTGCCTTTTGCCACAGAGTTCTGTGTAGGTTAGGACTCAGAATGCTCTCCTGTTTTAACAGCCTGGAGTGCCATGTCTCAGATGATTCCCTATTATTTGCCTGCTATAGAGAGCCTGCTTTGCAGGGAGGCTGGACTCAGTGGTCTCTGGAGGTCCCTTCCAGCCCCTACAATTCTGTGATTCTATTCCTTGTTTCCCTCCTTTTCTTTCTTGTTCTTCTGCTAGAAAACCTGTACGTGCAGCCTTATTACTATAAATCTGTACCTCACTCCATAAGGGCTGCTGGCTGAGCCAGGCTGGCAGTACTGCATTGTCTGCAGAAATAAATGTTCTGCATTATCTTTTCAGTGCTGCAGTTCTCAAAATGGATTCTTTTTATTAAATCAGCACCTCTAAATGACTGCCTTAAAAACACTGCTGTAATTTCATTAAATTTTCTTGCCTATTGGAAGTAGAAATACATATTGATATAGATAAGCAAGCTAATAGAAGTTGAAAGTAGCAAGAAAGCCATACTGATTATTAGTATTTAACTTCCTTGAAGTATGATTATCTGTAGGAAGGTGTTAGATAAAGCAGATACTGAAACACCTGACATTATATATAGGTACTTTTAGATGCAGTATATTCATTTATAAAAACACTTGTGTATGGTTGAATTTTCTCCTGGAATGTCCGTTGTCTTAGATACTTAGGCAAAATGGGAATTTGATGAAATGACACTTTTCCTTTTAAGATGCATTACTGGAAGAGGAAGTAAGAACAGGGAGTCAGCACCATGTGGCCATTCTGCTGTCTTTGAATGGTTGATGTGTTCCAGAGATCATTCTGGTAAATGTCTTGAGGTCATTCTGCAAGGTCTTCATAGAAGTTCAGTTCTGGTCACGAAGTTGTATTTGGATGCTGCAATTTCAATTTTCAAGAAGACTGGAACATCTCAGTAAAATCTCCTTCGGATGTGTGACATATTGTTAAAATATGTTAACATATTGTTAAAAAATGTCATATGTCCTACCACAATGCTATTGTTTCACTCTCATTGTTTGTATGGACACAGAAAAAAAACAATGGAGAATTATGCATTTGGTTTTGGTACCAGACTTCTGATTGTTGCACTCCTGTCTAGTTATTCTATCTAGCTGGTATACCAGATAGCAGACATTATGATATTAAACTCTGTGGGTTGTATTTAATATCTAAAATAAAATTTCCAGTACAATATATATCATTGCAAAGTGAATGAAGCAAATTTGGTGTCTGCTTATATATATATATATATATATATACATATAGCTTCTTCCAACTCTTCCCCCTCCATGCAGTAGCTTGATTTGACTTGGTGGCCAGAAGCTTATTAGCATTAAGGAATATAGTATTTTTGAGCCAGAGGAGCAGTGAGAAATATTGCTTTCTGCACATCTGTCAAAGGGCAGAAAGAATGAAAAAGGGAAGTAAATGATAGAATGTGAAAAATAAATTTAAAAAACCCCAACAAAATAAACAATAAGACAAACATAAACCCAACAGGTGCTACGTACTTTATATCCTGGCTGTGAGGTGACAGTACCAAGTCTGTACCAATCAAGTTGCTGTGATCTTACAATATTTGAGAGTTGGTCTGTAGCAGTCTTCCCACAGATGGCTACCAGCAAATTCCAGGATTTATGAGATGGTATGGAGTTACCTAGCCTTCTATCATATCTATCATGTCCACGGGTGAAAATCCTAGTTCTTCTCTGTGTGATTGAAAGGTTCAGTTGGCCTTTTGTGTTTCCATTTTGTGTGACAGTAGAGCAATGAACAACTTTTGTTTTGCCATGAAGATGAGCAGCAATATGCTCAGGTGTGAGTAAGGGTTGTAGCCCAGGTGTTCACACAAACACCTACAAGGAAGCCAAGTTTGATAACAAAGTGTAAGAGTGCAGTTTGGAGACCTGAAACTTTGCAGAAGATAATTCTAGTGTTCCAGAGGATGAGCTGAATGCATGAAATCAGTGTGTCTCAGTAAAGGATGCCAACTGTGGAAAAAGTACATCAGCTTAAATGCATGCAAGACACTCAGTCTTAGGAAAAGAGCTTATTCTTAAACCTAATTCTCTGTCAATGAACCTTAGTTCATGCGAACAATATCATTTTAACAAAAACTTGGATTTATTGCCCTACGCTGTAAGAGCAAGGACATGAAAATCTGGTTGAAGGAAGTGATTATTCTCTTCTATTTGGCATGTGCGAGTTGCTCCTGGAATACTGTTTAATTCTGGCTCCCCAGTACAAGAAACACGTTGATATACAAGAATGACTCCGGAGAAAATAATGTCAGGGATACTAGAATGTGTTGTATGCAAGGAGCAGCTGAAAGTTGGGTTTGTTTAGCCTGAGGATAAAACCATGGGAGGATCTTACTGCTGTCTGAAATTATCTGATGCTTAGTTTATCTGATGCTTATCTTAGTAAGACAAAACTCAACTCTTCTAGTAGGTGCACAGTGATAGGACAAGAAGCATCATATCCATGATAAAGCAGGTTAAATCCAAATTAATATAAGGAAAAAGTTTCATATTGAGGATGGTTAGACAAAAGAGCTGATTATTTGTGCAGTCTTCATCTTTGAAGATACTCAGAACTCAAGTAGAGAACCTCACCTGGTTGTTCCTGTTTTAAACCTTGTGTTCTCCAGAGTAGTTCCAGTGTGTATTGCTCTTGGAATCAAATTTCATGATCTGCTAGGAATGGTATAAAAAGAAAAAGGGGAAGAAAAAGCACCTCCAGAAAGCCCAGTTGCTGTTTTGCGAGTGGTTAGCCTTAAGGGGTGTGTGACATAGTTACCTGATTATGGATGCTCATTCCTCCTTCAGTTAAATGTACCTTTTATTTGTCAGATCAAGCTAAAATGAAAAAATGTTCAGTGTAGTCCCAGCCAACAGCTTCATTTCTCTCCACATAGCTCTGAGACATAAAATTACTTTTCAATGTTATATTTATTCAGGGAGACTATTTATGTTGGAGAATTCCCTCAGACTTTCTCAGCTTCCACTAGAAAATAAATGTATTCATTTGTTGTTGTGACACTACCTTTGAGATGGCAAACATATTTTTTTTATTTATGTACACATGTTTTATATATGTATATATAAACAATATCTATGAATTAATTAAAACAGTACCTTTTTACTGTCTACTTTTATAACACCTGGGTTGCATGAGCATTTATTTCACATTTATTTATTATTTTACATTTATTATTTTATTTCACATTTCACCTGGTAGCCTTCTATGATGTTGTCTCTGGCTGGGTGGATAGGGGGAAAGCAGTGGATGTAGTCTACCTTGATTTCAGCAAGGCATTTGATACCGTCCCCCACGACATCCTTATAACAAAGCTGAGGAAATGTGGGATAGATGAGTGGACAGTGAGGTGGGTTGAGAACTGGCTGACTGGCAGAGCACAGAGGGTTGTTGTTGGTGGTGCAGAGTCCGGTTGGAGACCTGTAAGCAGTGGTGTTCCTCAGGGGTCTGTACTGGGTCCGGTCTTGTTCAACATCTTCATCAATGACCTTGATGAGGGGATAATGGCCACCCTCAGCAAGTTTGCTGATGATACGAAGTTGGGAGGATTGGCTGACACGCCTGAAGGCTGTGTTGCCATTCAGCAAGACCTGGATAGGCTGGAGAGCTGGGCAGAAAAAAACCGGATGAGGTTTAACAAAAGCAAGTGTAGAGTCTTGCATCTGGGGAGGAATAATTGCATGCACCAGTACAGGTTGGGGGATGAGCTGCTGGAGGGGAGCTCTGCGGAGAGGGACCTGGGTGTCCTGGTGGATGACAGGTTGGCCATGAGCCAGCAGAGTGCCCTTGTGGCCAAAAAGGCCAATGGCTTACTGGGGTGCATTAAAAAGAGCGTGTCCAGCAGGTCGAAGGAGGTGATCCTCCCCCTCTACTCTGCCCTGGTAAGACCTCATCTGGAGTACTGTGTCCAGTTCTGGGCTCCCCAGTACAAAAAAGACAAGGATCTCTTGGAAAGAGTCCAGCGGAGGGCCACAAAGATGGTGAGGGGCCTGGAGCATCTCTCCTACGAGGAAAGGCTGAGTGAACTGGGTCTGTTCAGCCTTGAGAAAAGGAGACTGAGAGGGGACCTGATCCAGGTCTATAAATATCTAAGGTGTGGGGGGCAGAATGGCGAGGCCAGACTGTTTTCAGTGGTGAGTGGAGACAGGACGAGGGGAAATGGCTGGAAACTGCAGCACAGGAAGTTCCGCACAAATGTGCGCAAGAACTTCTTTACGGTGAGGGTGACGGAGCACTGGAACAGGCTGCCCAGGGAGGTGGTGGAGTCTCCTTCTCTGGAGATGTTCAAGACCTGCCTGGATGCCTACCTGTGCGACCTGCTGTAGGGAACCTGCTTTGGCAGGGGGGTTGGACTCGATGATCTCTGGAGGTCCCTTCCAACCCCTACAATTCTGTGATTCTGTGATATAAAGTATGATCACTGTATTTCATGTATGTAGTCTTTAGCGTGAAGTGTTCTGGCACAAACAAAACATGATTTTCATGCTAGTGTGGCATTCAGACAGGAAGTTGTATCCTTCCCTGCAATAACAGAGAAAACAAACAGATTGTTTATACACCTGGGACTGAAATACTTTTAAAGCTCTTTGCCCTTGCTTCTGAGCTGTCGGAGTCTATATTGTTTTGATTCATTTGCACATTATAAAGTAATCTTGTGTGGGTAGGTAACTGAGAATTTGTTGTTTCCCAGAATTTCAGTCTCTTCTGCAAACAGAATTGACAAAATGAGTTCTTTCTGTGGAACCATGCCCACGCCTACATTGGTTAATTTGGGAATTTAATTCATGGTATGTTTGCATGTAATTGCTAATGTAGAAAAATATAATAGAGTCATTCAGATTGGAAAAGAACACTGAGATTATCTTGTCCAACTGTCATCCCATCACTGCTATGCCTACTAAATCATGACCTTAAGTTCCACATCTGCCATTTTCTTGAAAATCTCCAGGGATGGTGACCCACCATTTCCCTGGGCAGCACGTTTAAATCTATTACCACTCTTTCTGAGAAGAAATCATTCCTACTATCTAATGTGAACCTTTCCTGGCTCAATTTAAGTTCATTACCTTCCATCATATTGCTACTTACATGGGAGAATAGGCCAACCCCCACCTTGCCACAGTCTCCCTTCAGGTAGTTGTAGGGAGCAATAAGGTCTCCCCTGAGCTTCCCCTTCTCTCAATTAAACAATCCCAGTTCCCTCAGATGCTCCTCATAAGACTTGTGCTCCAAATCCCTCACCAGCTTTTTCTTGCCCTTCTTTGAACATGCTTCAGGACCTTGATGTCTTTCCTGTAGTGAGGGACCCAAAATGTAGTTTTAAAGGTAAATACTAAGCACCTCCTCAGTGGGTGGGTTGACTGCCTCCCTAATCCTGCTCACTATACTGTATCTGATACAAGCCAGGATGCTATTGGGCTTCTTGGTCACCTGGTCACACTGTTGACTCGTATTTGGCTAGCTGTCTACTAACACCCCCAGGTTCTTCTCTCATATTCGTTTTTCTAGCCATGCTGGCCCAAACCTGCAGCAACAGGTAGGGTTTTTGGAATTGAAATGCTGGACCTGGCACTTGGTCTTGTTAAAGCTAATTCAATTGGCCTCAGCCCAGCTACTCAGCCTGCACAGATCCTTCTGTAGGGTCTTCCTACTGCCAGGCAGATCGACACTTCATCCTAACTTCATGTCATCTGCAAACTTACTGAGAGTGCATTCAATGCCCTCATCCAGGTCATCAGTACATTTATTAGAGAGGACAGGATGGTGAACTCCATTCAACATCATTCTCTGGGCCTGGCCATCCAGCTAGCTCAGCAAATGGCATACCTGTCCAAACCATGGACAACATCCATGCTGTTGAACTAGAAGTTGTCCAAATACATGTGCACTGGATAAGAATTTGTCTTTGCTTAGCTGCTGAGTTTCTCTGTGCTGTGTTTTTTCTCTCAGTGAATAGGATGTAATTCAAGAATAATTCATGCTATCCCTTTCCACATTGTTGTCTGTTAAGATAAAATAAAATAAAATAAAATAAAATAAAATAAAATAAAATAAAAAAGAAAAAAGAAAAAGAAAAAAAAAAGAAAAAGAAAAAGCCAAGTGTATGAGAACCTTTGAGTCATGGCCTGAACCACTGATTGAGCACCTGAGGAAAGGACCCAGTTAGCCTGGGAGCACAGGTGAAGGCAATTTACCTGCGTGATCAGAAAGGGTGGAAGCTGGCTGCACCTCTCTTACTCTCTTAGACCTTATTTAAGGGCTGACTGCCACTGGGAAAGATTTATTTCTGGAGATCCCTCCCTCGAGCTTTCCCCTGTAAACCTGGAATCTTCTGATACAGGTAAGCAATTTTCTTTCCTTCCTTTATAGCACCTTTCTATTGTGCTGATCCTCCTGTCATATTGATCTACCCAATTGCTACGTGTTTAATGACTTAATCCAAGCTGAAGTTCAGGTTGTGGAAATTGGTCGCCAGCCTGATCGTGTCCTCTTCCACGGAGGTAGTTGAAGGACAATCAGAAGTTTCAGAATTATCAGAATGTGACAGTGGATGCCTGTTCCTCTGTAATTGAGGCCTCCAGATGGGAGGTTGTAGTTAAGACCACCCTGCTGATTTAGGGGTGGGTGAAAGATCTGACCCAGCTTTCTAAAACGGGGATGGCCTAAGCACAGATGGTGGCACCTATCTCAGCCAAAGTGGTAGTCTTTATCACCACTGAAAGAAGATCCTAGGTCCAGTGATGTATCGCAGCGATGTAGCTGAAGAAACATTGGTCACTCCACCAGAGAAGAGTCCCTTTCAAGATGGGAAATCAAGATAGGAAATATCCCATTCCTGAAGGTGCCTGGTACATGGATGGCAAGTGGGCTACTGCAGGCCTATCCAGTACCAAAAGCAAACCAGGGATACGCCATCAAGGCACTCACCAAGTTGATGGCTGCCTACGGGACACCTCAAGTCATCAAGAGCAACTAAGGGACTCATTTGACTGGTGTGATGGTACAACACTTACGTATGGCTATAAATAATGTTTTGCTGAAAAATACAACAAAATCTTTTTTGCATTATATTTTTCTCCTGTTTTCAGCTACAGTCTTGCATGGAAAGCTTCTATCTCTTTTGAAGACTGCTAGAGTGGTGTGCTGATGGAAATTATGTTCTTTCCACAATTGTGTAACAGAAAGGAAACATTTCAGATAGTCATGCTTAGGAGCTGGTTTGCATACTTGATTACTTTTGACCTTCTTTGATCACTAAGTAATAAAGGTACACAGGTGGCAATCTGAATGCAAATACATTACCTTGTGAATGCAGGCTAGGGCTGCGGCGCTGCGGGTTGGGTGTTCTCAAAATTCAGAATTATTAATGTGATGTATCCTGTCATTATGAAAATTGAAGAAGTAAGGGATTCTTCATTAGCACTTTCTGAGGGCTGTTGCTAATTTACTCAATGTGTTATTTTCTTGTCTTTTTTTTTTTTTTTTTTTTTTTTTTTTTTTTTTTTAAAAAAAAAAAAAAAAAAAAAAAAAAAAAATAAAAAGATACAATTCACTTGCTCCTGAGCAAGTGAATGGAATGAGTACTTTGTTTCAGGCTTTGAGAAAAGAGAAAACTTATTTTCTATTTTCCACTTTCCACATGGAAGGAGGATGCTATGCGAAGGTGCCTGCATGGTTCTGCATATTTTACAGATGATTATTGATGTTATAATGCTCTGTAATTGATTCCTGCTTTTTCACTGCCCTAAGTTTTCTTAGCAATTATAACCTTCTGTATAGTTGAGTTGGAATTCCATCTTCAGAAAAAACTCCCATTGTCATATTCATCTCTTTCTTTTTAAAGGTAAACTGGTAAATTGCAACTAAACAGCATGCCACTTTTTCCAAAGAGCATTCTGTTCTGATATGCATTAATTTACCCATTTAAGATTGTTAGGCATCTTTGAAATGTCATGAAGTATTATGGGCATTGGAGTCAAGAATGGGGTTTAAGTACCAACCATGGGCATGAGTGGCAATTTTATAATCCACGTG